CACACACACACCCGCTAGCGGGACGCGGGCGGAGGGCTCAGCGGTTCCTTGTGGGCCCCGGAGCCCAGAAGTAGCAGTTTGGCGGCTCCAGATTTAGTGATTCTGCAGTAAAATCACAGGATTAGTCCCTGATTGAGATGTCTGTTCGTGAGATATTACAAAATTCATTATCACAGCTTTCTACTAACTCGATATGAAGTAACACAGATGGGATTTTATTAGTCCAGACTTCAAATGTTTACTTATGATAATTTCAAGGGAAATTTGCATGTCATCATCATTTCGATAATCTTTTTTTTTTTTTTTAACGTCTGAACTGGCTGCATTATTAGCCGGTAGCCCGAACATTGCAGATGGTAACTGCAAACAGTTTTTATTTTTAAAAAGAATGTAATATATTTTTAAAATGAGATCGCTCGGTGCAAAGTCAGTCAATGATTACACACTCCCCCTTGCCCAGCTTCAGTGCTGAAGACCAAACAAAGCCATACAAAACAAATCTTCAAGAACTCCACTCTAAGGACAGAAAAGAAGGTCAAGGAGTATTCCTTAGCTCACTCCTACGTGTCCTGGTGACTTGGGGATTTATTTGGCAGTCAAAATGAGCCTGGAGACCTGCATTTTTTTTTCTCTTCATATAATGACCAGGCCTACTAGAAGAATTGAGCCTAAATAACTGGAGACTTTTTAAAAAAGAGACCTCCAATTCCTGCCTGCTGATCCTGGAACTTGCCCTGTCAAGACAGGTCTTAAAAGACAAATTTGGTTGCCGGATTTAGGGGCTGACCTCTACGGTTAATCTCACAAATTAAGATGAGCAACTTTTCCTGATGGAAAGTTGTTCTCACCCCAAAAGTTCGTGTCTTGGTGGAAATGCACATGCCAGGCGATCTTGTTTGGGCCAGCTAGAGTTTTCTATTGTGAGCATGCTAAAAAGCACCGCACAGCTCCTGGACCCCACCAGACCCACTAGCCAAGGCTGGCAGGCAGGTCCTAAGAAATAAAACCATTTGCTTAAAATAACTTTTTGATGGTTGCCATAGGGTCAAGTTGCAGGAAAAAGATAATTTTAATAATTCCAAATTCTTTCACACACAACCCCCCTGCTTGCATTCATTCACTTTGTTGCCCCATAACAAAATCTTTAATGGGAAGTTTAAAAATAAACAGCACCAGGACATATGTTTTAAATGAACTAAATTGGTGAGATTAGCCAGTAAATTAATTTGCAGTGGGTAATCATTTAAGGAAATTAAAACACTGCTTAACACCGTGCTGTATTTTGCCATGTTTAAACCTTCTTTTAAAGCAATTAATACTGATGCTTTAGGAACACTTGAAGACAGACGTGCTGAAGTTGAAGAACAAAGCACCTGAATAATTTAAGTGTAGTTTTGCTGAGATAAAGTGAATCCTTCTGTAAATGTGGTAGCCATTTAATTTTAAGGGGAAACTTGACAATGGAAACCTTGTAGGTTTACTTTATGTCACACAACCCAACCCTTCAATCTATTTTGCTGAAGAGCTTTGTTTCCTTGACATAAGTGACGTTTGAATTTTAGATAAATTTCCTCCAAAATGATATTCAGAGCATCTTTAAATCTTATTGCCGTCTGAAAAGAATAGAAGGAAACCTCTTTAAAGAACACCGATTTTTTCCCCTAAAAATATCCAAGAAATAAATGAATTCCTATGCCATTTTAATTCATAGTACTAAAGTTTTATTTTTTAATTTAGTTTAGTCAGACACGATACTCACACAAAGAGAGCAAAAGAAAAATCATACCACCTTAGGGTGGTTTTGCTTCTAAATTGCCTGGGAAGGAAACTGATTAAATTGAACTAAACATTTGGAATCATAATTTCCTCCCTTATTCCTTGCTTGGAAAATCGCTCTGTCCTCTTTACCCATTTAAAATGTACCTCCTGAAGTGCAAGGTTGCAGTTGACTGGTGATCAATTTAAAGGATTTATAATCCAAAGTAATTGTGTGAGTTTGGCATCCAGGCCTGACTCCCAGGTAATTCACTTGGGCCTGAGAGGTCACAAACTGCCAGTTAAGATGGAATCTTTTTTCCAGTTGGTAACAATGGGGAAGGGGCTAATCTTCCAGTAGCTGAAACTTTGTGCTTTATCTCGAGAATGCTAATCCTCGGCCCGAGGATTTGTCTCTCGGCGTTGGCACCGAGATTTAAGGACAGATACCTCGTTTAAAATGCCAGCCATGCTCCCTTCCCACTCGACTTCAGCACCCCATAGATTGTTAGCGTCTGTCACTAGGGACGAAGGGGACCGGGCTTTGCAAGGTCTGTTTGCCAATGGCGTTACCCCGGGGGAAAGGCAGCCCCGAGAGCCACAAATCACCTACAGCGACGATTCTCTAAAGTGGAACAAATTTCCAAACTCGCATTATCTCACACCCTTGCGGGAGAGAGGGCCTCCACTTACCGGCTACCGGGAGAGAGCTGCAGTCTCCGCGTCCCACCGCTTCCCGGGGAGCTTTGCCGTCCGCCGAGGCGCGAGCTGCCCCGCCAGCGCCCGCAAGCCGGGCCGGAGAGGACCGCGGGGCTCCCGGGGATGCCAAGTTCCGCGGGAGTCCACGGGTGCGCGGTGGCCTGGGGAATCTAGCCGTCCCTGGTAGTTCCTAGCAGCTCCTCTCCAGCTTGCTCGCTCGCTCTCGCGCTCTCTCTCCCCTCCCTCGCTCTCATCCCTCTCTCTTCCCCCTGCTCGGACTGCGTGTGGGGAGTGACGTGACGTCAGCAGAGATTCCACCAAACTCCACTGCACAGTGGCGGGCGCGCGGGCGGGCGGCAGGAGCGGGGGCGGCCTCGGCCGAAGCACGTTGGGGGGCCGGGGGG